GAGGGAGACGAGGCGATGACGGCAAGAGAAATCCACAACCAATAGGATACAGTGAGTGACAAGGCCACGTTCACTACTGTGAAAATGGCAGTCAAGTCACATCAGACAGAGAAAGAGAGCTAAAAACAGAACGATTCCCAACTACGAATAAGCAGTAATGCCATTTCAGAACCCTTGAAACAAAAAAGAGGGAGATGGATAGCTAATCTTACCTTATGCCCTGCAGTATATCAAACACACTCAGAGACACTTCTCTTTCAAACAGCCATGCATTCAGCTTAAACTAATGCCCATCTGCTGCCATTGCTTTAGTCCAGCCTAATGACAAAGTTTGGTGTTCACAGGGCGAAAAACCAGACAGAACCAAAAAGGGGAGGGAAAAACACTGGGAAAAAAGATAAAAAAGGGGGAAAAGGGAAATTAAAAAGGCACAAAGGGGGAAGAAAAAAGAAAGTGTGACCACTGAGGAAGGCTCAACAACTCTAATTCAAGTTTAGAGCCCCCCTTTGCAGAGTTTTTCCCCTCCTTTCTTTTTTTTTTTTTTTGGAGGCTCTCATTTTTTCTTGTCTGTTCCGTTTGAGTGGGGTCCAAGGGCCCCCCTCCATGCCACCATCCTAAAGTCAGATAGATTCAGAGAGACAACCTGTGTGTGTGCTGGACTGTAAGGACAAATAGGATATTTGGGAGGGTTTTTGGGGATGTTTTTGTCTCTTTGTGCCATCATTATACTTTTCCACACACCCACCTGTCTGTCTGTCAAAGTGTTATAGATAGATGATCTGAAATACTACTAAAATCTTGCTTCAACTGATTATAAACACACAAAAACATTATCAATCCCTGGGTTGTGTTCTTTAAATGTCTACCATTCTTCAAATCAACTTCTGTCGACCAGTGTATGTGTATCTGTTACCATATAGTAACATCAACACTAGAGAATTGGATTTTAGTGTGTATGTGTTGCAATATGACTGTATGATGTTCGGCTGACACATCACATTCTTGAGACTTAGCAACTGAAGAGAATTGGGTTTGTGTGAGAGTGTGTGAGTGTGAGTCTGTGTGCTCAAATGAAATTAGTCACCGCTGTCTAAAGCTTTTTACTAGTGTATCACAAACACAATCAAACTAAACACAAATTCCCTCATCCCCTATGGGGAGTGCATATAGCCATGACAGGACGGGAAATGTTAACAAATACAAATGTGTTTATTTCCCTTATGCATACTATGTTTTAGTATTTTTGATTTAAACAAAAATTATTATTATTTGAGATTTCAAATATATAATATTTAATTATTAATTATTTCAGGTGAGATTTTGAAAATGACACAAAGGGAAACAAATGTTTCTATTAACTGGCCAAGTAAGTAAAGGCCAATGCCAATAACCTAAAATTAGTCAAATATCTGCCAATTTACATTTATGTATTTGACAAGATGCTTTTATTCAAAGTAACTAACATCGCATTTAAAGTATACATTTTATCAGTTGGATTACATTGCTGTTACTAGCACCATTCTCTAAAGTTTGAGCTACAGGAACATGGCGTGGCTGATATTTAAGTCAATATTCTATAATATGTTATACACCACCATTCAAATGTTTGGGGTCAGTTGGATATTTTTTTTAAAAAGGAATTAATATTTGTACTCCGCAAAGATGCATTAAATTGATGAAAAGTGACAGTAAAAGACATTTATAATGTCATAATGTTAACTAAAAAATTATGTTCTTTTAAACATTCATCAAAAAAAAAATCAAGGTTTCTACAAAATATTAGGCAGCGCAACTGATTTCATAATTGATAATAATTCGAAATGTTTCTTGATCAAATCAGCATATTAGAATGATTTCTGAAGAATTATGAGACACTGAAAACTGGAGTAATATCTGATGAAAATTCAGCTTTGTCATCACAAAAATCATTTACATTTTAAAATATTGTAAAAATTAGTTTTTTAAATCAGCAAATCTGCATATTAGAATGATTTCTGAAGAATCATGAGACACTGAAAACTGGAGTAACATCTGATGAAAATTCAGCTTTGCATCACAAAAATCATTAATATTTTAAAATATTAAAAAAAGAAATAGTTATTTTAAACTGTAGCGATATTTCACAATATTACAGTTTTGAGTATTCTTGATCAAACAAGTCAGCTTTAGTGAATAAAAGAGATTTTATTTACAGTCAAAATTCTTAGACCCCATGTATGTGTGTATGTGATAAAGAAATCATGATAAAATATATTCTGATTAAGGACGTCAGTTGAATTTGTGGGGCCTAGGACAAAATTATCAAGAAGTTCCCACTCTGACAACAGATTTTTTTTAAAACAAAAAGTCCACTCAACTCACTTTTTTTTTGCTAAAAAACCCTCACCTACACTCCCACCTCACCCGAGCATCTTTTGTCAAGCTCTACCACAGTTAACCCGGCAATGGAAACCTCTGGCTTTAAGACGTGTAAGTGCACAGGCAGACGGCAACCTCTCCAGCCACTTCCTCCCAGCTCCCTCCCTTGTGTGACCCACATGTTCTGGAGTGCGGGGTCAAGCCCCAGAGATCAGAGACACAGAGGAGAAAAAGAGAGACAGAGAGCTGCCCCTTTCCTCCCTCCACCCCGTTTATCCCTCTGTACCCCTCCCCTCTCTCTCTCATCCTCCACTGAATCTCTCTTTGGGTAACAAAAGCAGGCCAGGGCAGGAGAAGGCCCCCTCTGCACATGAGTGTGAGAGGCATGACCGACAGAGCAGAAATACCAGCCCACAGACTCCTCCACAGTCACCATTCAAATAAGCAAAAGAGAGCAAGAGAAGGATGGATGGATGGATGGATGGAGGGAAAGAGGGAGAAAAGACACAATGAAACGCTCTGTATTTGAAGGGGAGAACTAGATAAAAAGAAAGAGAGACGGAGAAAGAGTAGAAAATGAATAATAGGAACAGGAAGGAGTCTCCGAATGGAAATGAGGACAACACATTCAGGGAGGATTGAGGAAAAAGAGAAGAGAGGAAAGAAAGAAAGAAAGAAAGAAAGAAAGAAAGAAACAGAGAGAAAAAGGTTTGCTGCTTTGCTGAGTTTTGCAGGTTAACCTAATGTGTAGATCTGGAGAGATTTGCAAATACATTTTTATTCATATGATTAAAGTCTCTCTCTCCCTCGCTCACACTCTCTGACAGGAGGTTTGTTATGTTTTGTTTGTTTTTTCCTCTACATACACAGAAATATTCCCTCATTGCTTTTCCTGCATGTTCTCACACGCATGCAAATTAACTTTACTCACGTGAAGTCGGATGCATGTGATCACGCACACACCTAGTCGTTTCGATCGGCACAGTAACTTTACAACAAATACATGAGGATGAGACATCAGATTCAGTGATTAGGATGCACATACAGCCAAGTGTGCATTGGGGATAAACACAAATTTGTGCTTACATTAAAACGAATGGAGACCACAGGTGCTCTGGCCTGCAAACCCTTTAGGCGCCCCCATACAAACACTGACTAACACACTAACACCTTAAAAAAATTCATATTCTTACAGGTAAACAATATCAGGTTTTTGTGCACAATATGATTCAGCACTGCCTGGGACAGAAATTAAAATGTAAAAAATAAAAATTAATTAAGAATAAAACAAGTAATGTATTTAAAAAAATTAAAATAAAAAAAATATTGAGAGACATTGTGCTCTCAAATGTCATTTGCACTCTTATATTCGGTCACACTTTATTTTAAGGTCCAATTCTCGCTATTAACAAACCATTAACTACGACTTTTTCCTAATTTGCTGCTTATTAATAGTTAGTAAAGTAGTTGTTAAGTTTAGGTATTGGTAGGATCAGAAATGTAGAATATGGTCATGCAGAATATGTGCTTTATAAGTAATAATAAACAGCCAATAGGTTAAAGGGGTCATATGACGTTGCTACAAAGAACATTATTTTGTGTATTTGGTGTAATGCAATGTGTTTATGCGGTTTAAGGTTAAAAAAACTTTAAAAAACATTATTTTCCACATACTGTACATTATGACATGCTAATAAGCAACTTGTTAATAGTGAGAATTAGTCCCTAAACTAAAGTGTTAGGCCTCTTATTTTCAAACCTAGGTTGAGGGCTTCAAAGGCATGGTATATAGCGTACCAGTCACAAGGGCTAATTTTATGTACATTTTGAATCTTGACAGCCCCTGTTAATAGATTCATTGTATAGAAAAGAGAAGCACTAACATTCTACAAAATACCTTTGTGTTACATGGAACTCGAGTCCTACAGAAGCACATGTGGGTGTGTAAATGACAGAATCTTATTTTTTGGTGAACTATTTATTTTTTAATTAGGCTATCGCAACAGAAGATGCCTTAAAGGGAGGTCCCCAAAAAATGTAAATGCTGTTATCAATTACTCACCCTCATGTCGTTTGACTGTATGACATTCTTTCTTGTGTGGAATACAATAGAAGACATTTTGAAGAACATTAGTACTCACTCAAGTAAAGACTCAAACCTTTCTCAAAATATTGTAAGTTCCACAAAAGAAATACATACAGAAAATCATACAGGTATGGAATGACATGAGGAGGAGTAAATGATGACAGAACTGTTTCTTTAAATATGCACTCATCATGTTTTTGTTTATATTTTGTTTATACCATGGAAGCCCAAATTGCACAGTTAATTTAGTGCAATTTGGATATATATACAGTCACAGTGTGAGATATAAAATGACATTATGAGAAATTAAGAGTAAACTTAGTACTGACAGTACTTAGTACTGAACTTGGTACTGAATCTGGACCATTTTAAGCATTCTTGAGAATAATGTTTAATAGATTACCTGTGTCTAATTTAATTGTTTAACTGTTTCTTGTGTCTTAATTAAAATGTGGACTTATAAAGCCTTAATTTGAAAAAAAAATGAGTGAAGTGCACTTTTATAAAAACAACACTAAAATATGCTCATAAATACATGGTTGGGTAAAATCCTTACCTGGTAAGGAGATGTTGAGCTGGATGTTCTGATCTCCATCCTGTTTGTCCTGGCCCAGAATCATCCAGTTCTCCGGCCCATCTGAGTCCGAATCCAGATCCTCCACAAAAGGAGGTGCAGATTCAGAAGAGCTGTCGTCTGAATCAGAATCCAACACAACAACATCATCTGGGGAGCTCCTTCTTGCTTGAACTTGTGGTAGAGAGGGTGAAAGCAAGCTATGGGTCTGCAACTTCCTGTTCCAGCGTTTTGATGATTGACCCTTTTTAGTACAGACACTGTCATCTTCCTCAGAGCTGTCTGACACTGTGATAGCATCTGTGCCAGAGTCAATCACAATAACATCTACAGGTGGAGCATGAGGCAAGGATTTCTGCTGTGTTTGAGTCCGTGGTACTGATGACTGGACCTCTCTCGAGTCCTCCCGGTCCTCCTGGATCTCAGCGCTGTAGTGCAGCTGGGAATAAAGCCGGAACTCCAGTTCACTGTCAGTGTCAGACAAACTCGAGTCTGCATCATCCCGGTACAACTCGTCCTCGTAGTCATCCCGCTCCTGATACCCTGAGAACATCTCAAGGAGAGCCCTAAACAGAGAGCAGCCCAGTCGTAAACATCATCATGAGTCATCATTCAGAGGCCATAAAGATTTCTTTTCAGTATATCACCTCTGTACAGGATCCAAACAAACAAACAAAAATGTGCCAAACAGAAATGTATTTATTTATTTATTTCTTTTACAAAACAAAAATCAAGTAACACTTTACAATAAGGTTTCATTTGTTAATGGTTAGCTACATTTGTAACAAACTAATACTGAAAAATACTTCTAAAGCATTTATTAATAATTTAGTATTATATTATTAAAATGAGAAGTTGTACCTACTAATGTTATTTAATGGACCTCAGCTAACAATGGACAGCTGTATTTTTATTAATTAACAACGATTAATAAATACTGTAACAAATTTATTGTTCATTATTAGTTAATGTTACTTAACAGATTAAATATAGTTAACAAATGGAACCCTACTGTAAAATGTTAACCAAAATCCGTTCAAAACAAACAAGTTTAATTAATAAGAGATATAATATGAAAATTAAATTAAAAGGAAAATTAAACAGCTAGAATTTTACTCCATGGCAACTTCAGAAACATTTATAAAAAACTTATTTTGGTGAACATTATTTGAATATTATTAATTATCATTTTGATCAATAGAACTAAAACACATGCTGTGTGAGACAACTGCATAGTTTGCAGTAAACACTGCAATATTAATTTGTCATTAAATTAGCTTATGTTATATATCACGTGAGCCATTGGACAACACATATTGTGGGATGAAGAAGGCTTTCCCCAGAAGAAACTATATTAATTTAATGTCCATTCTGACCCCTTCAACTTTATGATCAGTCAGTGCTCTAAACAGAGAGACTGGGGAGAACTTAGATAGGATAACATGAAATCAGTATCAGGTAAATACATAAACAGTTCCTCAAACAGTCATACTTTTATTCAAATACAGGACTTACATAGAGCCAAGAGATGACAATCTCTATCCATATCCATAACGCAAAGTGCAATGACATGAACACAAAACAGCAGCTGTTTAGTTTTGGTCAAACTGTCAGTTTGTATCCTGAAGGAGGACAATAAGGCCAGATCAATGTAACTTTCTATATGTCTCAATTGTACATAAGGACACACAGTACGTGTGGACTTTATGTTTGTATTTAGCCTGTTTGACAGCAGCACGTAAGTCACAGAAAGATATTTCTGATCAAATCCATAAAAACTTCCAAAGATTATGTACACAACACATAAACAGCACCACAGAACACAAGCCATGATACTATGCTTAAAACCTAAAGATTCCAGTAAAAACAAGAAACCTAGAGTATTCACAATAATAAATATCTGTATAAAACCTATGAGTAAATAAACCCCTTGTACTGTAACAGCCTAAAATCAATGAAGACCAACATTAGATAGCATATTTCTGATGAACATGTGTTAGCCTCAGTGCTATCAAGTGCTGCTCAATGGCCCACGTGTCTTCACGTACACATGGACGACGGCTGAGGACGTATAACTAATAAACGTGCACGACAGGGTTTTAAAACATTTGCAAGCTCAGCTACACCATATGACACGTTTTATTGGGTTTGGTACGAAACTGAATAAAAATCTGACCTGTTTATAAATTCCGATTTGCAACACAGAGGGACACCCGCTTCCGGACTCCACAGGAAAATTAAATGGTTGGCCAACTAGTCTTCGTCCCTGGGAAAAAAGTGCTACATTTAGCACACGAAAGGAAGGTTAGTGACTGAGTCTGGGGATTGTTTTAACTATTACCATGCTTGTTCATAGTGTGAATGAGAGAGGAATGGGAAAATTTAGGAACTGTTCTCACTTGATTTTTTTGTTTGTATCAAGTTTAGAAGAAACATAGGGGAGCTAGGCATTAAACAGTGGTTCCTGAATTTATACCTTCAGGCCTGGGAAACGTAAACTTTACACCTTGTTCAGAAATAAAGGGTGTCTTTTGGGAGAGGCTGCACTTAATTTCATGATAAACACAATGATGATGAAGATGATGACAACAATAACAATAACAACAACAACAATAAAAATAACAATAACAATAATGTTTTGTTTTGCCTTGGTTGTAAAAAAACCCCCACAAACAATATGATAAACAGTAGCATTGCCTCATTGGCTGCAAAAATAAATATATACATAATAAATATCTATAATAATAAATATATATAAATGTATTTATATATTTATTTTTGCAGCCAATTTATGAGGCAGAATTTTCTTGCCATTTTGCAATGAATATATATATGTATGTGTGTGTGTGTGTGTGTGTGTGTACTTGTTTATGCTACATTGTGGGGACCAAATGTCCCCACAAGGATAGTAAAACCTGACATTTTTGACATTGTGGGGACTGGCCTGTGGTCCCCACGAGGGGAAAAAATTATTAAAAATAGTAAATGATGTTTATCTGAAAGTGTAACAATGCAAACTGGTTTTCTGTAAGGGGTAGGTTTAGGGTTAGGGGATAAAAAATATTGTTTGGTCAGTATAAAAGTAATAGAAGTCTATGGAAAGTCCCCACAAT